GCTGGTGAGAGCACGTGCTCCTAATGACAAGAGTGCCTGTTTGATGGTGAGCTATGCCCACCCGCAACTAATACTGAACTCGGCACCTTGAGCTGAGCTGCCGCCCACATGGCTCAGTGGATAGAGCATGCGCTCTTAACAGCAAGAGTGCTGGGTTCGACTCCCGCATGGGATAGTGGCTACGCCCACCCGCAACTCCGACTGAACACAGCACCTTGAGCTTAGAGGCTACGAGCTGCCAATGGACAGCCAGATGGCAACTGGCGCCCTCCACAACTAAGATTGAAGAACAACAACTTGATTGGTCCCCTTCCCACAATTCCTCAACACTGTTCCCCTCCCCCAATACCCCAATTTAAAAAAAAAAAAAAAAGTCGTGTTAACTCAGTTACTGATGTATACAATATTTTGCCAAACTTTCCCCAACCTGCAATTCCAGGAAGCCACCATCGTTATAAACATGGTGATAGCTATGATTAATCATACCTCACTTTTAGCAAACTGAATTGAACATGTTCTGTTAGCCAAATTTTCAATTGCTCATAGTGCTCTTGGTCCCATTCAACATGGACAGGTAAAGACATTTCTGTTGTCATTCTTTTATCATTATTGAGATGCTGGAGACTTGCCATTTAAAATTGATCTCATTGAGCAAAGAATTTAGAACCAAGGACAAGAAATTAGAAATGCTAATGTGTTTTTAGTATTATTTTATTCTTGGTCAACTCATTTATCTGTTTTAATTTCCCCTATCAAGATCTTGGCTAACAGCTTATATCATGGAAGAGCAAACTTAGACTGCAGTGTCCATACAAAGGGCTGTTGCTGCCATTTAAGATGACTAAATCCACGTTTGTCTCCAATCTTTGCAGGTATAAAAAAGTGAATAAACGGAGACCCCGAAGCTTACTAGAGAAACTGCGGTGGGTGACCCTAGGCTACCATTATAACTGGGACAGTAAGGTATTCCAATTTTCTCGCTAATTCCATTGTTCTCTATTTTTATGCTCATGCCCACAAAGTGGGATTTTTTTCCTGGCCAAGTTTACAATATCAGATATCCATTTGTGGGAGGATCTCTTTTATTTTGTTACCTCTTAAAATCCTCTAGATACAGTAGTATCTAGAGAGGCACGAGTAATTTATCAAGAGAAAATTTCTTCTTCATATGCCTTCAGGTTATGTTACTTCATCAGAAGTCATCAGTGTTTCTCTTAAGTAGGTTTCAGGGATAATAGGTTTTTCTTTACTGCATTCAGGAACAGTTCTCAATTATAACCTTCATTTCCATTATTGCTTCGTGTTTGTTGAGCATTTATTTTCTACATAATACCTGCCTGAAGTAAAAGAAGTTCCATATATTTCTGGTGCTCATCAACTTACAAAAGGACTGTCAAGATCTAGATACTTTGCCTGCTCTATGGTATAAGGTCTGAGCAGGAGAGAGATGGGAAAGAGTGTCCTACAGTGAACAAAGCTCCGTGTTTTCTTGAGGCACAGTCTCTTTTTTCCTGGCCTCTCCGCTTCCGAAAACGCCTCCTTGATCACTGGCAGAGCAGTGCCTTTTGTCTCAATGAGATAGTTGCCACCAAGTAAAAGGGCTAATACTGAGAGTAAACTGAGTAAAACATTAGTATAGACCGGGGGTAGGCAAACTTTTGAGATGGAAAAGCCGCCAGGGGTCAGCAAACTGTGGCTCGTGAACCGCAGGCTCTGAAGTAAAATTGAAAATGAAAATAAAACTATCATAGTTTCATTTATAAAATTTTTAAAGGATAATATTCACATAATGGTGATTATGTAAAAATATATATATGGCTGTTGAATAATTTTTAAATTGTTGTGAGGGACAGGATTGGTTCTTCCAGGGGTCGGAAAACTTTTGAGATGGAACGTACCCAAAGAGTGCATGTGGCTCACAAGCCGCAGTTTGCTGATCCTGGTATAGCATATTCTAGTACTCTGCTCCACTTGGGTTAGGGTAATATGCTTTGTCCACTCAAGCAAGCAAGAGAGCAGGTCAGCACAGGTGGTTTTCATGCTCTGTCCTGAGAACTCACCTGTTTGGTGTAAATAACAAACCACTGCCAGCGACTATCCTCGCTATACTGAAATCTGAGCTCTAAGTTCTGGTTCAGAGTTCGCTGGGGCCCATCCATATCCAACAGAGTGCCCTACGGAGAAAAAGATATTATTTGATATTCAACAGAAATTTAAGTGTCTATTATGTGTTGCCAAAATATCAAAACAAGTGAGATTGTCCTTATTACCAAGAAGCTATCAGTCTATGAGGAGCCATGAGAGTAAATCATCACTACAGTTGGACATAAGTGTAAGAAAAGTAAACACAGGTCTATGGCAGTAAATAGGATGGGCATGTAATCTAGACCAGGAGGGTAGAGGCAGGCTTCCCAGAGGTGGGGGATATGAGCAGAAATAAAAACCAAGTTTGTCATGTGTGGGGTTTTTTTTGGGGGGGCGGGGGAGGGGGTAAGGGGACAAATGTTTCCTAGCAGAAGAAATAAGTGCAAATTCACTGAGGTGTGAGGGAACCTGGCATATTAGAGACATGGCAAGGGTTCAAGTGTGGCTGAAGCACCGGCTGCAAAGCATGTGAGTGGTGAGAGAAGAGGCTTCGGGAGGGAGGCTAGGGCCAGATCCTAAAAGCCACAGCACCTGTGATTTTTACTCTACAGCACCTCTCGCTTTTTCTCCTAGTAATAGAGTCTCTTATTCCCTTGGGAAAAACCTTACCTCTTCCACTGTGGCTTTCTAGGTAGGACTATCAGGGAACACTGCCCTCCTGGGTGGCACCTGATCCAAGTTCATGCCAACTGAACAAATACTCCTGTGCTCCTCATTTGATTCCATAGCAGAGAGACCCAAGGAGCAGGTCTTGATAAAAAATTCCTAGAAACCTTGAGCATCGTTGGTTCCTGGTTTGCCTAAATCTCCGCTTCAGCCTTTCCTTTAAATCAGTGGGTTACCCCATATCCCAGCAATAAATTTTTTCTTCACTAGAGCCACAAGTGTTTGTTTTTCTACTGCCTGCCACCAAAGAGCCCTAACTCTTACAGGTTTTACAAGCTAAGTTAAGGAGTCTGGACTCTTTTGAGGGCAACAGGCATGTATAAAAGATTTTAAAAGCTGGACAATAACACAATTAGATTTATATTTTAGAAATATTGGTCTAACAGCATCAATATAAAAAATGAACTGGGAAACAGCAGTTTTCAGACACTGCACAACAGATGATACAGGACTGTTAACTCAGGGAGAAAAAAAAAAAGAGGTGAGCCCTACACTTACCCCGCTTACTGCCTGGAGGAGCCTCCAGGATGCAGCAGAGGGAGGGGGAACTCAGACAGAGCCCTGAGGTCTTGCTGAGTTGAGAAGAAAAAGTTCAAAGAAGCTCAGGTTAGAATTTGTGGGACAGAAGACCGAAGACAAGGGCTTTATACAGAGAAAATGCTCCAGAGAACTCCTTTCAGATTTTTACCTGTGTTCATGTGGGGGTGTACAGATGTGCATGCGAATCCATGAATGTGAGGCTGGGGAAAGAATCACTGAAAAGGCTGAACAATTTCAGGAGCTCACAAACCAGGCTGGAAATAGTTTGTGTTTCTATCTATCAGAGTAGGGAGACTATAATAAACAAGACATTGGGAGAATCCTAAGAATGGCAACTCATGAGGAAAGGAGTAAATTAGCCCTCAAGACTGCTCTTGACCTAGCTTAGGAAAGCTTAAAAGCAAGCCTCAAAAATTTTTTTAAAAATTAATAAAAAAAACTTATCTTAAGTAACTTAATTTCATGCCAGAACAAAGTGTACTACAGAACAAAGTGTATTTAAATGAATACAATAAAAATCTAGTGTTCAACAATGTAAAATTCACCATGTTCAGCATTGATAAAAATTACCTGGCATGCAAAGTAGGAGAAAAGTATGCTGTGCAAACAGGAGAAAAATCAATCAATAGCAACAGACTTAGAAATGCCAGAGATGATGGAATTAGTAGACAACAATATTAAAATAGTTATTTTAAATATACTCCACACACTCAAGAATTTAAAGAAAACATAGCATGATAAGGAAAGAAATGGAAGATATAAAAATGACCTTAATGGGGCCGGCCAAGTGGCGCGTTGGTTAAGACCTGGTTTGGGACCCGGTTCAGATCCCACATATGAGGGCCAGTGACACTGCCCTCTACAGCTAAGATGCTGAACAACAGCTCAACCTGGAGCTGGGCTGCTGTNTGCAGCCTACGCCGTCGCCGGCGACTCTAGGTGAGTATTCTTAATAGAAAAGTTCCTATATTTGAAGCCTATCTCAATAATTTTTAAAAAATCACTTATTAAGTGTTGGTAATGAGAACCTAATACTCTGATGTTTTATGTGTTTTGCTATATTATTATTATTATTTTACAATATTACATTATAGTGTATTAGTCGTCTTGGGCAGTGAAATACAGAGTTGGGGGAAAACTCGTGGAATTTTTCTCTCTCCTAGTCTCCCTCCCTATATCAAAATAAATAAAATGCTAAGTAATTTTTTATATAATCTGTTTCCTTGACTTATTTCAATAAGTCTTTACTAGGGGGAATAAAGTTGGGGGGGGGGAAATGTAACCCTTTTTCATAACACAGTATTCCTGAACACTCTCTTTCATCGATAGTTTCTGATAATAATCTAACCACTTATTCCTGCATAGCAATTCCACCCTGGCTCTCTAAAACTTTGTCCTCCTGCTATGCTCAAGCCATTCTTGTGATGGCTGTAACATGTCTGTACTTCTTTTGTTTTCTGAACTGGATGAACTATGCAAAGGCCAGCATTCCTGGGGCATCTGATAGCACTGCCGTTGGTGTGTTCCCTCCTTACCACATCACATGAACACACTTCAAAGCACCCATCTCTGAGCCCAATGGCCTTTTACATAGTCTAATCTTACCCAAAATGAAAAAGAAGTGGAGAGAAAAATATATATGGTGATGGTAGCTAGGGCAGGGAATGAGAGGTATGAGTAAAACGGGAAGCGGAAGTCCATTTTGTTCTCCGCCATTTTTCAGAACAGCAATGTAGAGATTCAGACCCACTTTTAAGTGGACCTAAGAAAAAAGTATATGAACTAATAAAACAATCAAACTAGGTACATTTTAAAAATATAAAATGTTTTACAATTCAGAATATATTCGCCAGCATATTCCTGATACCTCTAATGTATTCAGATTATGGTTCAATATACAAAATAATAACAGCAATGATGCACTTCCAGAAACTCCTTAGGAATACATCTACTGCATAAAATTCATCTGCTTTCTATTGTTGGCATCTTATATTTCATTACATGGCAGAGATTGCTGGTAGCCTACTCCATGATCTATTCTGCCCTTCTCTCTTAGTAATGGGGGCCACAAGAACACATATATCTGCCAAGAAGGACTCCTTATGATTAACTGGGCCCAAATTCATAATCAGAGTCTAACAACTATTGTTTACAAAGACCTCTCATGCACTGCATATTAAGGAACAACCACAAACCGAGCTGCCAGGTCTCCTGCACTGCATTCTTGCTGGCTGAGCTGAATCTTATAAAGGAGTTCCTGGAATTGTATTTCAACCACTGGGCTGAGACCTGCCCTGTCCAATTGGAGCTGTGCAACTATATACTCATTTGCATCTTTACTAACCAATCAGAGTGGCTCCATAATGGCCAATTTGGATTTGTGGTTCTGACCAATCAGGATAGTGCTATTTGGACCAATCAAACTGTACAAATTTGGATTTCTTATTTGCATAAAAATGGTTGAATGAGGTACAGGGCAGGGACTTTCTCTATATATATGGGCCTCCCCTTTGTCTCAGTTCTGTTCCCACCAGAACTGAGTGGGAACAGTTCTGTTCCCACCAGAGACTGCCTCTCCCTGGTTTGCAAACTGTTCATCTGAATAGTTTCTCCTCTTTCTGCATTACAGACTGGGGACTCCTGTTGGCATTAGATTGGTGGCAGTGACTTTGTTGACAGCAATAACACCTGAATTTATTTGGAGAGACAACAACATACCCTTCAAAAATACTACACTTACCAGCTCCCTTGCAGTTAGGTGTGGACCTGTGGTGTGACTAACTCTTGGCTAATGAGCTGTAAGCAAAAATTTTGTGTGGGACTACTGAGACAACATCTTAAAAACAAAAAGAAGTGAGGGGGCCGGCCGAGTGGTGCATTGGTTAAGAGTTGACTTGGGATGCCAGCTCTGAGCAGCATGGCCCCAGTTCGGATCCCACATGAGGGCTAGTTACAGTGCGTCCTCTACAACTAAGATGGTGAACAACAGCTCAACCTAGAACTGGGCTGCCATGAGTCACCAGCGATGGCGTAGGCTGCAGCCCCTGCTGCAGTGGGGCTGGCCGGCAGCAGGCGTGCATTTTAGTGAGCTGCTGTGAGAGGCCATCCAATGGCTGGTGAGTGACTGCCTCACCTGGGAAGAGCGCAATGATAATACCAACATGGGCCAGTGAAGCGACATCCTCCACAACTAGACTGAAGAACAAAAAAGACAGCAACTTGTCTGTTCCCCTTCCCTGATTCCCCAACACCGTTCCGCTCCCCCAGTTCCCCAATAGAATCTTTAAAAAAAAACCACCACAAGAAGAAGTGAGCCCTTCTGTCGTACTTTCTTCATACTTGTCGCCTAGAATGTGGATATAATGACTGGAGCTCAAGCAGCCATATTGAGCATGAGGTAAAAGCCACTGAAGATGGCAGAGCAGAAAGCTCTCAGGTGACATCATGCAGCCACCATCCCTGCCCTAGACTGCCTATCTCTGAGCTTCTTTTAGATGAGAGAGAAACAAACTTTTCTTTTGCTAAAGACACTTATCTATTCCAAACTATTACACTTTATTTTCAAATAAAATAATCCGTATAATTCTGTAGTAGTTAAAAGTAGCACATATTAACAAAACTTTTTAGGTTTTTGTGTAGGAGCATTTTTTATTTCTCCTGGTTTGCAGTTAATACTGCTTCTAAGAATTTAACATATCTTTTTTTATTGTTGACTGTTTATATTTTTCTTTAGTGCATTTGTTTGACGTCAAATTTTAATGACTCTTCATAAACACTTCAAAACTTACCTTTGAAAGCATTGCCTAAAGTTAACTAAGCTAAT